CTGAATTTGCTTTTATCATATAATAAATTCTGATTGGAAATTGCCCGACTGGGTTTCTATTTCCCACAGTGAGTAATTTGTGCAGGACTTTCCTCGAGGAAATCACAATCCACAGCCATTTACTGCCTGGATTCTCCCCTCTCCCTGGCATTAAACCATCAATGTCAATGTTACCCACTCCACACAATTCCCTACAACCCCTGGAACCGGTGCTCTACAAACACTCACGGAGCTGAGAGAAAAAAGCAAAAACAGGGTTTTTTTTAGATTCCTCTTCTGAGGAGAGAAGAAGGGAAAAGGAGGAACTGCTGCCATCACCTGGAAAAAGCAAAACCAAACGCAGTTTTCTCATCACTGCAGCTCGACAGATTCTCCAAGCAATAAAAGGGACCTTAAATACCTGGGGAAGGCACAGTGTGTGACACTGCCACAGCACTGCCCCGGCTGGCCTAGCTGCAGTGGAAATCCAACCCCTTCCCATCGTTTTTTTTATGGAATACTCCAGAATAAAATGTTTGTCAAGCCACTAAAATCAGAGAATCACAGAATATCCTGAGCTGGAAGGGACCCGTAAGGACATGATCATCCAGTTCAACTCCCGGCCTTGCACAGGACACCCCAACAATCCCACTCTGTCTAAAAATGTGGGAATCAATGTGAAAAGCAGAAACAAAAACTAATAAACCCCACAAAACTCCAAAGTGGAGTGTCATAAAAGAAGGGATTGAATTTCATTGATTTGAATGTCTTTTTTGTGAGTAACCAGCAGGGGGTCATCCTATCCTAAGGGTATGGAAATCAGCTTGGAAACAGTGAAGTTCCTGAGTGTGACCAGCGGGAGGCAGCTCCGGACCAGCAGGATCCATCCGGTTCTGTGCTTTGGGTTTTACAGTCCCAGAAGTGCAGAGTTCCCCAGGATTTCACTGACAAACCAAAGCAAACAGTGAGGGAACTGGGAGGGAGGAGAGCATGGCAGCAGGAATCCTGACAGGGAAAAGGGACACAACAACCTTCTCCCAGGCGGATGGAGGGTCACTGCTGTGCTGCCAAAAATCAGATGGCCTTGATAGAAGATCCTTAATCAAGGACTGTGGGACTGGCAAGGCAAGAGCTGAGGGGGAAGGACACAGTTCTGCAACAGTTCCCTCTGTTTTTAAGCATTTTAATAGTCTTCACAAGATACTGAACTACCAGAATTTTAACAGAGGAAATAAATATTGCATATTAGAGGAATACTGAATAGCTACATTGAATAGCTATATGAATACTGAATACTACATGAATATTGAATAACTACGTGAATATTGAATATCTATACTGACTATTTATATGGATATTGAATATCTATATGCCCCTGTTTCCAAGACCCGTTGGAGAAGGTGTCCCACAGGAATGATCCTGCCTGGCACAGGGACTGCACTGATGGAGGAGGCTGCCCTTTCCTCCCTCTCCCCCAGGTGTGGGTCCTCAAATCCAGCACTTTTCACCCCACAATTGCAGCCTTCAACCCCAAATCGGCCTCTCTCACCCCAAATCGGCCTTTTTCACCCAAAATCTCCAATTTTCACCCCCAAAATCTCCCTTCAGGCATCAAAATCAACCTTTTAAATCCCAAATCTGATTCCAGACCCAAAAATCTGCCCCTTTTACCCCAAATCTGACTCTTTTTGCCTCAAATTTGCCTATTTCTGTTCCAAGATCTCCCTCCAGGCATCAAAGTCCGCTTTTTTAGTCCCAAATCTCCCGCCAGACCCCAAAATATGCCATTTTCACCCCAAATCTCCCTTTTTTACCACAATATTTGCCTGTTTTGCCTCAAAATCTCCTTCCAGG